GTTGAAAATTATAGTCAAAACTACCAGATTAAGGTAAAGTTCTTTGAGTTTCTGGAGCGATAGTTACAGCAAAAAGCTGGGTAATTTTTACCGTATTTTGGTAATTTTCGTAAAAAAAGTATGGTAAAAACTATCAGAACATTTATCGTGCTCCGGGCTCTATATGGTAAGAAATTCGGTGTTTTTTATTGAAGCGCTTTAGAAAAATATAATGAAATATGGTTTTATGATACAAAGTAAAATTTGGTAAATGTGGTAAAATATGGTAGTTTTGGTAATTCGAGAATAGCATAAAATCTATTTATTTGGTTAAATTTACTCTTCCGTTTTTTTTTAACTAAATGTGTGGTAATAAGATCGACTATTTTGAAAATCAGAATTTCCGGTAAACTGCTACCATATGAACGGAAAAATTACTAAATGAATGACTGGTTTAAATATTGTAAATTTGGTTTTATTTACCAAGATTATGAGTTTTTTTAATCAAAAATGTCCTTAAAGTACGGTAATTTTACCTGATTTTTTTTGTCAGTCCTGATTTGAAATGTGGAATTCGGTAATTAAAATATTCAATACATTATATAAAAGTTTACCTCTCGTCCCATAATTTTAATTACAAAATACATAAATACTTTATATGATTTTAGTTTTTCTCAAGAAATGTAAATTCTGATATTAGAAAATAACTCTTTATCTTCGAAATTTTTAATTTTTTAAAATTCTTTTAACTGTTAATTTTGATGCTTTTCTACAACAGAAAATACATGTTACGTTTAAAATTACTTCTCATTGTTAAACTAAATGAATACTATAAAATGTTTTAATTATTAATTGCAGGATTAAAAAGCTTACATATTTAATAATTTAATTGTAAGAAATTATGAAGTTAACCAAATGCCGTTAACAAAAACCCGTTTAAATTTCATAAATCCCTCGTGAGCCAAGATGAGCCATATTATTATACTAACTAACATTGATTACTAACATTATACTAATTAGCATTGAGTAGAATTAAACTTAACTACTCAATGCTATAGCTTAACTTGAATTAAACTACGTTTAAATACATGCATGGTCAAAAAATACATACACATGGTTAAAAACTAAGAATTTTTAAAAATTGCAACAATTCTGTACCATATTAAGCTTCAAATTACCAATATTACTTTTCAATGTTGAATTGCAATGTAAAAAATTCCGGATCAAATTACGATGTCATGTTACGGCACTTTGGGTGCCTTATCCATTGATTATATGTTACAAAGTTCAACTTGAGCAAAAACATGCACTGAAAAAAATTCCGGATCAAATTACGACATAAAGTACTTTCACTTTCATGGCATCATCAGAAAAATCCATTTTACAGTAAAATATCTTACCGTAATTTTTAAAGTAATATTTAGTTAATTTGAGTGATTCTGTGATTCTACGGTAATTATTGCTGCAAAAATTACGGCATATCAGATTTTTTTTCGTAACATGTTCCGGTAAAAATGGCTTTTGTGGTAAAAAGTACCAGCATCCTGAGTGCCAGTACTTTTTGCCATAATTGAATTTTTTACAATGCAGTTTAATTTCACACTTTTTGAAGCTTGAAGCATATGTATACGAAATTGCTGTTCAAGGTACTTAACTTACAGTTCAAATTTAAACCGATATTTCTCGTAGTATAATTTTAAACCCATTCAAAAAAACAATTAAAAGAGAAGAGAAGATACGATTAACATCAAACAGTCAGCAAATTAAAAGCTGAATAAATCTTTTTGAAATATGATTTTCAAGAAAAGACATAATCGACAGTTTTTCAAAGGAACATAAGAATTTCATTGAATATTTATAATTATTTTCAGAAAGTTATATTGGGAACGATTATATTGGGATATAATCGTTCTAATAAAAAAAGGCATGTTTTAATCAAGATTGATTTCGACGTTATCCTTTGAGCTTCCTAAGATATGCTCATCTAGCAATTTATTTTTCAATCGTAAGTGGACAACATGAGAGGATTAACATGAGAAAGAAAAAAATACTTATGTTCTTAACCTAATTAAAAATGACAGTTAGCTAAGTAAGCGATTAAAAAATGTACACATTCCCTCAAGGATAGATTTTAACATGTCGGATAAATCAAGTATTTTATTTGACTACCGAATTAACTAAGCACGATAAATTCGTCAAAATTAGTAAGATAAGGCTAATCTTCAAAGGGCCTGGCATAATAAGAATTAATCGCTTAGAGCGAATAACTGTTGTTAGTAAGGCTTTTTCATGACTTTCACACCATAAAAAAGTAAGATTCAAATTAAGGTAAAAGTACTGGCACTCAGATCCCGGCACTTTTTACTATAAAATTAATTTTTACCGGAACATGTTACGGAACTAAAAAGTTGTTTTACCGTAATTCTTGCAGTAATAATTACAGAAAATTCATTGAATCTCTCTGACTAAACAAATATTACTGCAAAAGATACGGTATAATACTGTATACGGTATAATACTGTAACGTGATCCGGAATTTTTTACTGTATAAGATTTTTTCTTGATTAGTGGATTAAGCTTTGTCTGTCTTTAGCTAACGTTCCTTACGCTAATTATAAAATGGCGTATAATATTATTATAAAGGAAGGCTATGTATTTGTGAAATTGAAAAGCGTTTTGATAAAATTTTTAGCATTCGAAAGTAACTCCAACATTGAATTGATTCGACTATTCAATGTTGAATAGAATAAAAATTAGCAAATATTGAGAATCATTCATTCATTTTCATGATTTTCATCTAGCAAGAAAAATTAAGTTTAATAACACTAGGAAACAAATTAGGTTTTGTTGTCTGTTGCTTAAATTTTTTAAGAGATCTTATCAGCGACACTTTCGTATCGCTGATTTCAAATGCTGCGAATGGTTTCTCTGTCCAGTTTCTCTGTCCAGTCGCAAATGGTTTCTCTATACAAATTTTTAAATGACATTCTTGGTATATTTTTTGTCGAAATTTACAAGTTCGAAAACGTAATATATAGCACGTTTTTGCGTAAATGCTGTGTCAAACTTCTAGGGGAACTAGGGCACATCATCGGGATTAAAATTGCTTAGAAACTCATGCCCTAGAATGTCATAATACGCTGCTAGTGGCTGTTATAAACTGCTTCTTCGTGGGCTTCTAAACTGGTCATCATTAAAAAGCGCCCTTAACGGCGTGCAACGACATTTCCGAATATGGTTTTCTATTCAGTTTCAATCCTGAGGATGCGCCCTAACTCCCATGAGAGGTTGTCGCATCACTTCCATGACCCTCTGTTATAGATAATATTTTTAAATGTATGCATTTTAAAAAACAAATTAAAAATGCAACTTTAAAAAAAAATATGCTGTTTTAGAAGCAAAGCTAACTTCAGATATGAAAGCCCCCCACCAGAAACAAGTAAAATCAATTATTTGTATAAATGAAGCAATATAATTGCTCTCAAATGTTACTCCAGATTGTTTTCAAACTTTAAGTTATTTGTGTGTATTTAAGTCCAAGCATTTTCTTGTAGAAAGAATATATAGTTTAAATTTCAGCCTCAGTTTTGAGATAAATATACTTAAACGCTTAGTATTTTTTCCTTTTCCTAGGCTAAAAAGCTTCGTTTAATACCCATGAAAAAGTCTACTCGAACAAGCCAATCTTCTAGTTGAAATTTCAAGTATATATTCTGGTTCTAATTTATTGAGATTCCTCAGCTAATGCCATGTTCAATTTGAAAGCCAAAAATTGATACGTCATTTTTATAGACTATAAGCTCTTTGAAAATATGTTTCATGAAATAAATTTTACGCCTTTTAGTTGGTTTTAATTCGAAGTGCTTTGCTTTAACTTCACTAGTTTTTAATTCACTGCTTTTTAATTTTTCAAAAGCAAAACATAACTTAAGCAAGCTTTCAAGTTTTTTCTGTGACCTTAAAGTAACACTTTCAGCATAATATTTTCCTACAAAATAACATTTTTGTGATGTATTAAAAAAAAAAATTTTTACGTTTCGAAGACGCAAATGCACGGTTTTAGGAATGTTAAATCAAGAAAATAAAACCACATCAAAAACGAAATAAATTATGCCTCTTAATGTTCAATACATAATCAAAGTCTTTAGATTTTACTTTTTCAAAGAAATTATTAAAATTTACTTTACGATTCGCTGCATTTAGTTCAAATTAATTAAGTTATGATGCACTCAAGTAGTAGAAATTATTATAACAGTAAACACTTTAGTAATATCATATCATGAGGAATCACAAAACCTTTTGACAAATTTTATAGAAGTTATTATGCCCTCAGTGAGTAGAAATTATTATTACAGTAGATACTTTAATAGTATCATATCATTAGGAATATGGATTCGCTTTGATACATTTCGTAGAACTTAGGATGCACTCAGTGAGTAGCAATTATTATAAGAGTAGATACTTTAATAGCATTATATCATTAGGAATTACGATTCGTTTTGATATATTCTGGAGAAGTTAGGATGCACTCAGTGAGTAGCAATTATTATAACAGTAGAAACTTTAGTAATATATCATTAGGAATTACGATGAATTAAGATTTACTTAGTAGACGCTATAATGCAGCTATTCTCAATAAGTAGAAATTATTATGACAGTAAACACTTTCGATATTATTAGGATTTACGAAACGTTTAGATACATTTAGTGAAAATTGCTACCACAGATACACATGTATTCAAAATTAAGAGACATTTAGACGCAATTAATAGATGAAATAATTACTAGAATTTAAGGTATTAGGAGATTATGAAGCATTTAGATAAATTTTAGAGGAAAGTTTGATGCAGTTAAGCATTGTTAGTAAAAACTATTATAAAAATGGATACATTTGGTAAATGTCACAAAATGCCTTTAATTTTTTTTCAATAGCATAAATAGAAAACTTTGAGATGTATGTGAATAAGAAAGGAGACAAAAACATGAAATATATTTTAAAACCAAAGAAGAAGAATACGCACTTGAGCAATAATCTGATAATTCTGAGTCCAAGCCTGTCAATAAGGAAACCCCATATGAATGCACTAAATCCTACACAGAATATTCCTATTGTGTATCCAAGATTGAGTATTTTATCTTGAGCGTTGCAACCCACTGCATGTGCTAGTGTAACCTGAAACAAAATATAATATTATTATTTTCTTAATTTATAATTAGAGGAAGCACATAAATTTTGTCACAGTTCACCTCATGGTTGTCACAAGTCACGCTAAATTGCACAAACATATACATATACAATCTATGTACATAAACATGCACATTTCCTTTTTTATTTTATAACCGTCGTTGACACAATTTTTGGGTTTACGACTACTAATGTTCAACTCCGTAACCTTGTAATCTTGAACCCGATTCAGAAGAAAAGGGAGCTCCTGGATCAAGTATTGGGAGAAATTTACCTTCGTGGCCTTTTTGATGGAACTAACCCGCATTTGCGTTACATGGGGAGGTAGAGCACGAAAACCTCTCACCGTTAGCCTGACGGCAAGGAGACTCTAACCTATGATCCGTCTACCAAGGAGGATATTTCACGTCAACACTGTTGTCGGTGCAAGCCGGATGCGGAATTCGTATTGACCAGCTATCAGTGGGGTAACCCGGTTCATCTCATTGGAAGGCGAACGCTCCAATACCGTGAACCATCACGATGGCTCAGGGGATACCCTGAGCCATCGTGATTGATAAACATGTGCATTGTTCAGAAACAGAACTCCATGTTTTCGACCATATTTCAAATTTCATCTTTAAATTTTAACTATAGGTTTTGAAGACAAATGTGAGCATAACAATAACAATGATTAGACGAGTAATTAGTGCTTAAATATAAATACGCTCATATTTTGGTGTAGTTAAATATGTATTTATATTTTTAAGTATAAAAAATATTTTATTCGTTGACTTTAAATAAATGACAACACATATTAAAATGTGTTATGTTATGCATCCTGTTAACCCCTTGTCACAATTTCACCAACCATTTCTTTTCAAACTCATCAATGTTTTACGTGACAACTAACAGTAACATATATTTTAAACTATACTCAGTGAAATTAAAGCATCAATATCTTAATTTCCACACTACAAGCATCCAAATAATGTTTTTTTTTAAAGAAAAAACAATTTTAAAATATATCATCAGGAATTTCAGAGGAATACCAACAAATTATCTAAGAAAATTTTATATGCACAAATAAAATTCATTGCACTTTTGAAAAAGTTAGTAACAATACGAACTGAAATACGAATTTTGCGGATTCATCCACCTGAGAAAGAAAGTCAAATTTACCAAAATATGGTAATATTTAATGTGTTTCTGGCTCTATAATAACACCAAAACCCTTGGTAATTTTTACCGAAGCGCTTCGGTAAAATTAACAGTGAATTATGGTTTTAAGGTAAGTCATATAAATGTGGTAAAATTTGGTAATTTTATCATGATATCTTAGAGCATGACAAAAAAAACTGAATTTATTTTTCAAATTTTTTTTTGTTGCTAAATTTATGGTAATAAGAAATATTATTTTAAAAACCAGATTTTTCGGTAAACCGTTACCGCATAATTAAAAAAAATTAAAATATAAATGGTTCAAATACAAAATATTTTGGTCTTTATTAACCAGATTTATGTTCGTTTGTTGTTTTTTGTACTAGAAATGTCATTGCTATACATAATGCTAATTTTACCAGAATTTCTTCTTATTACTGTTTCCATTTCTTATTAATGTTTCCATTTCTTTAGGATATGTCAAACTTCATAAAATTTCATTTAATTACGTTTAAATTTATTCTGAAACCTGTTAGATTTTCTTTATTTTTCGACAAGAAATAACTTTCAAAAAAAAGTTTTTAATTCGAGCACTAAAACGTTGTCATTTTCATACGAGAAACGTTTGTATTGCAAAGGCTGTCATATGACATACAATGAGAGCAAAGCGCAAATAAAAAGAACTAAATATTAATTATTAATTATAGTGACCTTTTATTTCTAGACTAATTTACTGCTATTAAAAAAATGGATTAAACTCAAAATGATTAATGTACATTTAATTATTAATCAATTAACTTTTCTAATCAAATAGTAAATAAAATTTTATAAATTTATAAATATCTACTAATTTAATAAATATTCATTATTTCTTACACTATTTTCGTTTCTAGAATTCTTAAAAAGCATTTTTTTAATAAATTAAATGAATATTCATTTAAAGAACATTCAATGAATATTCAATTTCAAGGCATGTTTAAATTTTTCATCATAAATATTCAGTTAACGCGTATCAAGAAGCATAATTAATTTTATAAAAGTTCATTTATTGTTCATTTTGTTTGAATAGATCCCACACATGTGGTAAAAATGTTCTAAAAGCACTAAGACATTGGAATCCCAGTATCTCTTCATGGTTACGGGACAATTAATATTCTTTCACCTTTGCAACGTCCTCCAACGTAGCCTTGAAAAGTACGGTGAAAAATTTTTGAACCACAAAATTGTATCAATTATATTTTCCACTGACAATGAAGATTGTATCACGCGATGACAGTTAAAAGCATTTGGCGATAATTATCAGTAAGTCACTGAGTGCACGCAACACATTATTGAGCGTTAGACTACTATTTTAGTGAAAATTATAGTCTATTGAGACATTTAAGCATTCCTCTTTTTTTTGGCATCTGACTATCGATAGAAATTTTGACTTTATATTTCATCGCACAAAATACAGCAGTTTAATTTCACTTCACCAAAACTATTTGAATTTTTTTCCCTCCCAACAATAACATGACTTACAACAGGCTCAAATATGACTTTACGACAATCAATGCTTAACTCTGTAGCAACACCGGGTAGGTAGGGCATTGGGTCCATGTTAATGGGGTCGTGAGTTCGATTTCCACCTGGTGCACGTTAAATCTGTAAGGTGAAAGTCCCCCGTGTTTTATAACACATCAATACCTCTGGAGATACTGAATCAGAAATTGATCATTCTCTGGTTCAGGTCAAAGTTACGATCTGTGGATGAAAGAGTGGATGTAGGAATAGGTCCTATCTATGAACGGGCTGTGATGCGTGTGTGGCTTAATTAATATTTTTGTCCATAGATGACGCCACTGAAAAACAAAAAATGCACCCTCTGCCTTAAACTCGCTTGGTTACACCAAACAGGCATGCTAATATTGATAAGTGGCCTTTGAAGCAACAACAACGCAACAACCACGTAACCTTGTAAAATCCAACCCAGAAGACAAGAGCACTTCTGGATTAAGCATTGGGACAAACTAGTCTTTGTGGAAAGCTTTTTGATGGAACTAACTAGTATTTGCGTTACATGGTGAGGAAAACTACGTACACCTCCAACGGTTAGCTTAACGGAAAGAGGATTATAAGCCATGATTCATCTACCACTGAGGATATTTACGTCAGCACTGTCTTCGGTGAGAGCCGGAAGCTGAGTTTGTACCAATTAGCAACAGCGTGGATCCGAATCTGCGTCATCTCATTGGGAGGCGAGAGCTCTATCTTCTGGGCAACTGATTCGCATCAAAAATGAACAAATCGTTATGAGTAGATTAATGATAACTTAAAACATCATCTACCAACATGTCGACACGTTATTGACAGTTTGTTTAGCTTAACTTATTTTTTTTATGTTTCCTCGATTTCTAAATGTGATATCTTAAATTCCAATTTGCTCGAAACTGTGCATTAACTATCTCTTCAAATATCTAAGAAATTGACAATGCACTTACTGATTAAAAAAAAAATATTTTATTTAAAAAAACTGGACAAAAAAAAACAACTGATAAAACATCCACTTACAAAAGTGCATAAAACAAAAAAAAATAATTTTCATTGCAACAATAAGACATTTTAACATAATTTCTTGAAAAAGCAGTTAAAGGCATATTAAAGATATCATGATCTTTAGTATGTTCGCTAAAAAATGTTACAAAATCAGTATTATGAAAAATTTCTTACATAATCATATTTACAAAATGAGATAAGAATTTCTAAGTAGCTACAAATAATTTATAGCTTCTGATAGATAATTGAGTAGTATATTTTGATATTACAGTCAAATGCGATACGATATAATTAAAAATTGAATTTCAAATTATTTAAAAATTAATATTATGTCTAATACAGAGTACATTCCTTAAGTTTATTATTTACAGACAAATTAGAGTAAAGAAACTGAAAAAAATAAGTAAATGCTTTTATAAAAATGCAATTTCTAATTATTTTTGACCATTTCTTAATCTCTACAATTTGAAATAATTTTTTTTCTTTTAAATTTTAATGTATTAATACTGTGTTTTATTATATAATATAAATGTTACTTTGAATAACCGAATTGGTGTCGACTTCAGTTCGACCGGTCAAAGGTGACAATCGCGTAGTAACTTTGGTAAATGTTCGAAATATATACTAGGTCTCGTTAAGTGCCACTGCTCGGTATACATTTGCCCGATATGCCCTACACTGATGTTTTCTTAAGTTTCAGTGCTGCTGCCCGGTATGCCCTACATCAACGTTTTTTCAAGTTCTAGTTCACTGTGCAGTATGCATTTAACCGGTACTTCGAACATGTTTCTCCTAATTTATCATCAGATATTAAAATATCGAATAAATATAATAATATCAACGAATCGGATATAACAAATATTTCGGACATTCACCAAAGCGACTATGTGATTGTTGACAAGTCGACATTCTCTTGATATCTGCCATTCACGGTAGCGTATACTTAAATACATACACGGTAACATATACATAAACATATACATAAAGTTTTTAACATTAAAAAGTTCAAATTTGGTCACCGACCGTGTTTGAATTTTTCTAGGGTCAAAAAGTTGAATTTAATTTTTATTGTTTAATTTAGAAGAATAACTTCAGTATAAAACATTAAAAAATTTTCTGAAATGTAAAATTTTTTTAGGAGACAATAAATCGTTTTCTGAGACAGTAACTTCGTCTGATTGTGACTGCACCGTAAAATATTTTAGTTTATCCCCACATCAAAAAAATGGTGCCAACTACTTTATACTATGGTTTAGTTCATACTTAAATCTTGACTCAAATGATTCACAACACCACTGTTCTTTCGCACTACT